TAACATCAGTTTTCCAGTGTCGAAGTTGGCTGAGATTTACACTAGTGTGATTGTGAAGATGCATGGTGTTCCTTTGTGCATTGTGTCAAATAGAGATCCAAGATTTACTTCTGATTTTTGGAAGGGTTTGCAAGAAGCGTTGGGTTCTAAGTTGAGATTGAGTTTAGCGTATCATCCACAGACAGATGGTCAGACTGAACGAACGATTTAATCGTTGGAAGATTTGCTGAGGGCATGTGTTCTTGAGCAGGGAGGTTCGTAGGATACTTATCTTCTGTTGATAGAGTTCACTTATAATAACAATTACCATTCTAGCATTAGGATGGCACCTTTTGAAGCGTTGTATGGTCGAAGATGTAGAACTCCATTATGTTGGCATGAATCTGGAGAAAGTGTAGTACTTGGACCTGAACTTGTTCGTGAAACTACTGAGAAGGTGAAGTTGATTCGAGAAAAGATGAAAGCTTCCCAAAGTAGACAAAAGAGTTATCATGACAAGCGAAGGAAAGATTTAGAATTTCAAGCAGGTGACCATGTGTTTTTAAGAGTTACACCTGTGACTGGTGTTGGGCGAGCATTAAAGTCTAAGAAGCTCACTTCTCGTTTTATTGGACCGTATCAGATTTTGGAGAGAGTGGGGAATGTTGCTTATAGAGTGACTTTACCTCCTAATCTGTCGAATTTGCACGATGTGTTTCATGTGTCGCAACTCCGAAAGTATGTTTCAGATCCATCTCATGTGATTCATATGGATGATGTGCAAGTACAGGATAATCTTACAGTGGAGACGATGCCTGTATGGATCGTGGATCGTGAAACTAAGACTCTGAGGGGAAAAGAGATTGCTTTGGTTAAAGTGGTTTGTCTAGGAGCTGCGGGAGAAAGCATGACTTGAGAGTTGGAGAGCAAGATGCGAGACTCCTACCCTGAGTTGTTTGATTGAGGTAAATTTTCGAGGACAAAAATATTCTAAGTGGGGGAGAGTTGTAACGCCCGTAATTTAATTAATTATTTGATTAAATTATTTTTGGAATATTTGTGAATTTGTGTTGTGTTCAATTGGATTTAATTATTTTATTAAGTGGAGAAATAATATTAGAAGTATAATATTATTTGATGCGGGCTTGTTTTAAAGGAATAGAAGTAGTAATAAGGGGGTGTATTAGTTTAAGCCCAATAAGGAATTAAGAGAATAATAGATTATTTTATTATATTGTTAGAAAGAATAGAAAAGAAGAAGCAGTACACAAATAAGGGTTGGAAGAAGAACGTGAAGCTGCTGGAAAAAGAGGGAAAACGGAAAAATGAGGTTTCGACCAGAAGTTATAGAGCGACCTTTAGTCCAAGGTAAGGGTGGGATTCTGACTCTATAGTTGGGTTCATGATAATTGGAATGTGGGGTTAGAGGTGATTGTTGTCTTATTCATGAATTGAATGTATATGATGTGGTATGATGAAATTGATGAATTATAGATGAACGATGACGTTCCGATGCTGTGTAATTGATGTAGAATTATAGGATAATTATAAGTGATGATTATCCATGATTAGATTAAGTTTTTAGGGCTTAAAGTATGGAACCCGTAGTGAAAACACAGAGAAAATTGCAGGAATTATACAGGACAGAGCAGTATGCGTCGACCCCAAACATGATGTATCGATACAAGAAGGTTTAGAGACTCAGGATGAGTCAATACGAAGAGGTTTTGCATCGATCCATGAGGACTTTTAGACTCAGGATGAGTCGATACATAGGAGCATGTCTCGATACATGCTGTGTGGAAGGCTCAGTATGAGTCGATCCAAGAAAGGATACGTCGACTCATGTTGCGAGTTCAGTGCAGTATGCGTCGATCCAAGGAGTTATGCATCGACCCGGGTTGTCTGTTTTTTTTTTGCAGAATCATTTAGAAAAGGCTGTAACTTGAGTTTTCGGACTCCGTTTGAGGTGTCGTTCGAAGCGTTGAATAGCTAATCTGATGAACTTTATTCTTGAGGATTAAAATGAAGAAAATAGGAAGTGTAATCCTAGTAGCCAATTTAGGATTTAGAGTTAGTTCCCGTGTTGATCGTTATGTTGGATTTTGTGAAGAAGGATGAAGATGAGATGCTTAGAGGCTGCTGTTTGATTTGTAATAGTAGGATTAATAATAATAACGATGTAATATTACAGAATAATAGTATATAGAGAGATTTAGTGATTTAGAAGTAAGTCTTAGTTGGTTAATTAATTATAGGCAATATCTTGTATAGGTCTATGGCCAACGTTGTGAAATTGATGAGTTACTGTCGTATTAATGTACAACTGAGTTGTTGATGAGATGTTATTAACGAAGTTGTGTTTGATAATTTATGATGAATAAATGATGTTTGATGAATTATTATGATGATATGAGACGTTGATGGAGAGATGTTGAGATGCTTTTGAGATGTAGGCCTTTGGCCAACGAAGATGGTGTATTGAGATGTTGTTAATTATGGTGTTGTCATTACATTCATGATTGTGTCGCATACATTGCATTTTGAAATGGAGCTTATGCTCGTTGAGATGGCCTATATTGGCGAATATTGAGATAAAGGCTTATGCCTTGTTGATGCCTCTATTAATTGGCAAATTTTTGAGATAGGAGTTTTGCTCCAAATGGTACCACATGCATTTGCATAGTATTGAGTCGCATTATATGATTGCATAAAGAAGTGTGTATTGATGTTGTGAATGTGTATTATTGTTGTGATTATTGTTGATTATGAGATGATAAGTGGTGATGTTATGTGATCTAATTTAATATATTAATTATCATGTGCTTTATTATATTGTTAGATATCTCACCCCTTCTGTTTGAATGTTGCCCTTATGTTGGTAACATGCAGGTAATCCAGAGTGAAGGTTGTATATCTTCAATAGTTTGAGTCGGTGCCATTGCTCTGATATGTAACACTCGGGGGGATGAACGTTTGTTGTTTTTTATTGTTGATTATTCAGTTGTTGAACTTTAAGTTGATTATTATTAAGTATTTGTTGGTTTGAAGTTGTTGTAATGATGATAAAGATTTTATTAAGAGTTCCGCTGTGTAGATGTTGAATTATTTAACTAAAGATGTTATGATGATGGTTCATCTGATATTTTAAAAGTGTTATATATCCACGATGAATGCAATGTGTTTTGAAAGAAGAATTTGTGGCATCCTGATTCGTTTGCATGAATGATTTTATAACTCTGATTTATTTATATAATTATCGGGTAGAATTGGGGTGTTACAAGGATCACTCTAGAGATGTACTCAGAAACCTTCTCGTTGTCCTTCATGTTGAGATTCTGATATTGCTTTCTGAGAGACTGAAGTTTCACCTTCTTCACCGATGCGTCACCACCGTAATATCTGACCAGTGTGTCCCACGCAGCTTTTGTTGTTTCAGAATCAACAATCTTCTCAAACACATTTGCATCCACACATTGATGGATGTAGAACAACGCCTTAGCGCCTTTTGTGTTATCTTTCGTGCCTCTGTTGTGTCTGCTTCTAACAGATCATAGTCATTGATGACAATATCTAACACATCTTGAGAACTAAATAACACGCGCATCTGGATCTTCCAACAATTCCAGTTTTTGCCATCAAATACTGGAAGTTTCGAATGGACATCGTCGTCGTTTCCGTTCATCTTCTACCTTGTGCAATTTACGCAAAAACACAATAAAGCAGTGTTTCCCAAATCCCCAGAATCAGAAACAACGATTATCACGCATCACCTCACTGTTCTCTCGTGTTTCCCGTTTTCCCCGTGGATTTTGAACCGGAGCTCTAGATACCAATTGTTGGTACACAAAGAAGAGATGAAAAGCAAAAAGAATATATTAAATGACGGCTACAAAAATAAGGAATAATAATTTACAATTAATTACATTGAGCTACCTCACTAGGCTATTTATACACAAAATAAAATCCTAAATATCCTCTAACAGATATAAAAAGATATAATAATATTCTCTAAAAAGATATTCCTAAAATATAGATTAAATTCAAAATATATTTCTAAAATATAAATTAAATCTAAAAAATGGACGTAATTACTACGACTACCATAAGCTACATTTGATCACTCGTTATTCATTAAACACATACCTCAATCTTTCACGTTATTGTTAGTTTGTGTAGATGATGGGATACTAGTTGGTATCTCTATATTAGAGTTTGACTATACTAAACATATCCTCCACAATTCCTTCATGATCCAGAATTTAGTTCAACTTAAATCCTTTCTTAGTATTGAAGTGACCCATTCTAAATAAGGCATTGTCACATGTCAAAGAAAATATTGTCTTGGTCTCATTTTTTACACAGGATTCTTAGGCTCCAAACATGTATGCACTGTGTGATTATTCGTTGAAACTGCAATGGGATTATGGTATCCCATTTGCAATCATTCTTGCATATAGGAAACTTATAGGAAGACTAATGTAACAAATTACAAATAAGGCAATGATATTACCTACATTACTCAGCAGCAAAGCTTGTTTCTCAATAAACCTATTGTTGTTCATCACCACGTTGCAGTGAGGGTGGTCAAAGACTTAAAACCCCGCGTAGGAAGAGGTCTTTTTTTATCAAAACAATCATGCATTGCATCCCTCGTTTACAATAGAACAAATTTAAGTCCAAAACAATTTATTTACAAATTATAGCCTATCGCATCCCTCATGCTAGTTTTTTTTCACAAGCAAAATATCAAGTCATAAAAATTAATTAAAACTAATTTATTTACAATAGAACAAGAGAATAAAGAATGTTCATTCATTTAAATTATTTTAATTACACTTTTTTTGTTTTCCAGTGTTGAATACTGTCACACAACTCACTTCCTTCGTGAGTTTCTCAATGTGTTGAAAGTATGGCCTGGGTTATTAGTCCCAAACCCACCAACATTATGAGCTTTGTTAGAAATTCAAAAATAAATTCCTTTTTCGAATAATGGTCGATTATTACATTCTACACTTCCATTATTCTCTCTTCACAAACCGTCCCTGCAAAATATACAAACAAGAACTTCAATTCAAAACAGGTCTCTAGTAAACAACACTCATAAATAAGCATGCAAATGAGTAGAAAACAAATTGTCCACTATCTTTGTTTGACAACACTAATCTCTACAATCCACGAGTTCTAGTTCAACTAACAAATATCGATATTATTAGCCTGGACGCCATCACACAGATTTTTAACTTCGACATCAAAGTTGTATGTGAATTTATGAACCAACAACATAGATAGTGTCAGGACCGTCTTTGAAGGAAGCTAATTTCGACTTCTTACATAGGGCTTCTAAAAAATTTGAGACGGCTCTGCACAACATTATTATAGAATTGAATAGAAATTCTAGTATAGTATAGTTTTAGTTGTAATAGAAGTTTAGAATAATGCACCTTCATCCTAGGTCGTTTTTCAGCATTCAACTTGCGAACTTCATAACGAATCCTCTTAGCAAAGAGTCTACTTTGCCTTTTTTCTTTGTATCTCAACAAACTTGCCTCTCTCTGCCCAACCTTCCAACCAGTTTCTTCTTTCACATTCACATTGTTATTGTTAGGTCCACAACCTTCAGGAACTTTCCATGTGTTCCTAACAACATCACAACCATAACCATCCCACATTACCTATTCAAAAAATAACACACTTTTATAACATCTTATAAATAACAGATAGATCCATAATATATTTCTAATTGATGCATAACCAACCACCTACAAAATTTTCTATTTAAACAAAAATGAAATAAAGTTAAAAGAAAAGCAAAAGGCCCCCCTCAAACATGTGCCTTACAGAAAAGTTGGTACCCGAAATAAAAGATGTCGGTGCCAAAATGAAATGATACAAATTCACCCAATAAAACAAACCATGTACAAAAAGAAATAGTAAACTAATAAAATATCTGTCACATGATCAATCACACAATATTAAAGAATATTTGACAAAATCTCATAACTCTTATAATATTCTTATAAAAAATGGTTAAATAAGGAATTGAAGTCAATATTAATTAAAAAGTGCTTTATGATTGACTCAATAATTAAAAAATGTTGAAATTGTAATCAAATGATTTAGTAATTTAGATATGAACAACTAATTGAAGTGAGAAATAGTAAAATTACATTGGGGAGGATGGTGGAAGCATTGAACAAATCAGGAACAGTCTGTGGGGCATCATCAGCAGCATCAACATAAAGAGATCCTTTATCAGACCAAGCATTCAATATTCCATCATGATCGAGCTTCAAAGACAAAGACCCAAAAAACGACGTCGTTTCACTCCCAACACAACTATTCACCTCCTCCATCATTTCCTTCTTCTCTTCCACAACCTCCGAATAACTAACCCATCTCTCCTCCTCATCGTTCCTCTTCCTCCTCATCGCTTTCTTTACTAACCCATCCATGGCCGGACACCTCATCACTGAGAGTGATTCATCCTCCTCCGCCGTCGTCGCTGTTAGCGTTGTCGATTCGTCTTCCAGGAGACCGTTTAGCGTTGCTCCACCGTCGGATGTGAAGAGTAAAGCTACGTTGTTTTCTTCTTGCATGTCGGAATCTGATTGGTGGGCGAAGAGATTCAATTCTTGTGGCTGTTGTGGCTGTTTTTGTTGCGGTGCTGTTCTTTGTGTTTGGTTTGTTTGTGTTTGTGAGAGCTGTAAACGGAGACTAAGATACTTTGGTTTTCTTGTTTTGGTTCTGTTTCTTCGTTTGTGTGGTTTAAGAGAAGAAGACGAAGAAGAAGATGAGAAAGAAGAAGAATTTTTATAGGTTGGTTTTCTTTTCCTCTTCATAGTAACAGACTTACACTTTGCTGGAGAAACAGTAACACTATTTTTGTTGCACATTAACAAAGCTATAGTTTCTTTCAGATTCTAACTTTGATCTAAGAAGAGAGAATGGTAGAGACTAGAGAGAGTGGAATGACGAAGTGGGGAGAGAAAGTGAGGGAAAAGGTTGTGACTTTTTGATGCAGGACACTGACGTATGAGAGGATGATGTGATGTCTGGCCCGCTGGACACGTGTAATGATCTCATTGGTCAACAGAGTGGATTCCATTGTTATCTGGATTTCGTTTATGGAAGAGATGAGGTGATATAGATAGATTGGGTTAAAAGTTTTGGCAATCGCTCAATGGTAGTTTAGATTACTCTCATCTTCTGACTCTTGTATTAAATTATTTACTATCATTTTTAATTACAAGTGCATTTAAATATATACTGGTATATGTTCAAAATTTAATATAGTAATAATACTAATTTTGGAAATTATATTGTCGATTTTAAATTTATATATAAAAACAATGTTTTTATTTTATTTAAAAAGACTTATGAGTATCTTGTGGATTTTAGACACCGACAGAATAATAAATGTTTTAATACTATATTGGGCTTATATTAATAAAAAGATAAATTTTACTCACGTGATGTTTGTGTTAGGATTAGGGCTGTATTTAAGATTGGATAATATGAGATTCACTTGAAAATCGGTTCAGTGAAATCAATAGATCAATCGAAATGCTATTAATTTTGGAATGGATAATCTTTATAAAGTAAATAATAAAAAATGATATCCAATGGAGGAGTAAGCCAAAACTAAAAAAAAAATCAACTAAGAGAAATAATAAATAGGGAGTTCGAGTTTATCCCTATGAAACTCTTCTTTGATACAATCTGGAGGTGAATTTTCCCGTAAAAAATCAATGCTTGTTTAGTTTGCATGAGATTTAATTGATGCTTGGTTAGTTTACGAAATATGACATTCACTTTTTAGCTTTTATGTTATCTTGGATTCAGTTAATTGTGTTTTTTTCTTTTTAGTCTTTTCTCTTGTTGATATTTGTCGAAAAAATAGAAGGTATTAAAATATTATTAATATTTACATACATTAATGATATTTTAAATTTGTCAAACATCAAAAAAGAAGAAATTGAAAGTGCAATCACAGTAATATATGGTATTCGCTTATATATTGTGATGTTTTTGTTTATTTGGTATAGATATTTTTAGTACTTGTATATTTATAATTTGATTATAATATTATGTGTTTGTACTTTATTCATTTCGTACTTCATTTGTAATTGTTTCGACCATTATGTTTTTGTATTAATAAGAACTCTCCTTACTTCATTAATAATAGTGTTCGATGTAACATTCAAATTTTAATAAATTATTTTATTTAATTTATTTTAATTTAACTATAATTTTTATGTATTTTATTTAATTATTATGGAAAATAATTGAAATATTTTGGATGATATGGGTGTTTGAACTTGAGTTGAGGGGGTAGAAAGTAATGAGAGATTGATAGATGTTAATTAGACTTATTTAATAATTAAAATAATAATAATTTATTTTTAACCTATTTAATAAAAGGAGAAAATAGAGAATAGTGGGAGATAAGGCTGAATTGTTAATTAGTAAAATAATGGGGTTAAAGAGTAAGAAGAAATATTAAGTGGTGTAGAAATTAATTTTAATTAGATTAACTTAATATTTCAGGTTAAAAGAGAATTAATCTGAAATTTGTCAGTACATATAATTGAGAAAAGAGAAAAAGGCTAGAGGCAAAGGGAGGCAAGAGAGAGGCTAAAGGTTGAAGGGGGAATTCATTCAAACTAATTCCAATTCAGATTTCTTACTAGGAATTAAGGTAAAAAGGAGAATAATCTCAATAAAGGATATATGCATCAGGGGTATGGTAGATGAGTCATTAACCTCCAATAGGTTTGGTATTTGAATCCATTGATGGTATAATCTATTTTTCATTATGAAATATGTGTAGCTTAGTGAGGATAATTTTATGTTGATGTTGTTCTGATATATCTTCCATTGATGAACTTTTGAAGGTTTGGGGATGAAAATGATTTTAGAGGGAAATGGTTTTAATGTGTTAAAATTGATGAAATCATGTGTTATGAATATGTTATAATGAGTATGATAGGTTTTTGATCAAAAAATGGTAACTGGAAGTGATTTTGGGAGATTCCAAGAAGTCTCCAAAGTGAAAATCATGATTTCTGCAGGTTGCAGGTCGCTGTAGCGGTAGAAATGTTCAAGACTAAGTCATTGGATTGACTAGACTTTATACAAATCAAAATAAAAATCACCACCACGCTTTATTGTTTCCAAAGGAATGGGAAAAGAGTAAATAACCCAAAAGAGGGGGAAAGATTCAAGGTAAGGGGGTTGGTTATGCAAAGGGAAGGTATTAGCACGCTAAACATCTACGATACTCCGCAGGAGCCTCTTTATAAAATCTGCATATTTTGGCTATAAAATGTGTTATATGTAAAATGGATGGTGGAGGTGAGAAAAGAAATATATATTTTTTATGATTTTTGCACCCGCCGCGGTTGTGAACCTTTAGTGCCTACGTACCACCTTTCGTGCAATAGAGGATCAGGGTACACGTAGTCCCTCTTTAAAAAGTTTGAAACACAAGTGTGTTGGTTGATTTTAAGAGATAAGACATCATCGTCATTATCCGTGTGGAAAACATACTTACTACCCACAATCATGAGAAATGAGAATTTACATCATCTCAAAATGGAGGATATGGCTTGGATTTTAAAATCAACAATGTCTCACTCAACACCCAAGTGGAAAATATCTCTCTTCACTATATATTATAGAAGTATAGTTGTTTGCATCACTACAAGGATTGACAAGAGTCTAATCTTTTGAGAAAAGTTTAAAGATAAAAGCCAAAGTGGCAAAATGGTTTGGAATGAGATTGATTGACTTTTAATCTTCTCACAAAAAAGGTCAAGGTATTATTAAATTGATTTGGAGTTTATTTATGAAAAGATTTTGAAAATGCATGGACATAAGTCCAAGTTTATTATGAAAGTGGTTCAAATTTAGAGACAAGAAGAGTTTTCAAAAGGAGGGAGAAGATTTTTGAAATTAAAGAAGATGGGAGGAGAAGAAGAGATTATCCTAAAGCATAAGGTAAAAGCTAAGGATAAGAACCATCTAACCAACAAGGAGCCAAAACTTGACATTATGAGCCAAGATAAAATTCTCATTCTTTGGATTGAAACCAAGCAAGCAAAGATACTTAGACCTCTTCAAATGTATTAAGTCTTCACAAAAATTGGGAGAGTAACGGTTGTATACGGGTGAATTCCAGATTACAAACAAAGGATGTAATCACAAAAAACCTGCACACAAAAACAAACAAGCAACCCAATATCTTGAGGTAAACCTCAAGAGCTCCAGACAAAATAATCAGATATGATCACAAAGTCTCCAAGATAGGCCAAGGTTTCTAATCCTAAGTCCAAGAAAAAGTCCATTTCTCCATAATGCCAAGGATAGTAACCAAGTAGTCCAAGTACCATTAAGAGTTTTTTTAGGGATTATGTTGATTATTAAGTATCTCAAGAAAAGAAAAAGAAAAGCTCAAGTGAGCAAAGTAAAAATGGCAAGAAAATAAATGCTCAAATGAGCAAAGATAAAAATGACTTGAAATGAAAATGCTAAAAAAAAATAGTATATAAAGCATAAAAATAATAAAAAGCATAAAATAAACACGTCAATAATTAGTGGTTAGTTGGATGTCCATCTTGAAACTTGCACTTGGAACTCATTAGAGGATTGGTAGAACCAAAGCCTCCACACAACAAGTTGCATTTGCTTTTTTTCAAGTATATCATCTATTTGGAATTCTCATAAATACCATTTAATGATCAATGATGTTTAAGTGATCCGCGTTGACCAAAAGTGTTGTAGATCCATTAGAGGATTGGTAGAACCAAAGCCTCCACACAATGAATCTCAAGGTTATTGGATCAAAGAGATCAAATTAACATACTTGGGCTTACAATCATAAGTTTGGGTCACAAATGATCATTTATCCAAATCGGGACAAAATTTAGCGCTATGTTAAGCAATCGTAAGTGGACTTATATAGAAGTCACACCTATTTTGAGGCCGGTCAATAGCAATCTATGCACTATTTGTTTTGAGACATGATATAGAGATCATGCTCCAACAACATTTAGTGCAATGAGAAGGGAATAAGATGAAAGGGATTTAGGGTAAAAAGATAAACCACAATTAAATTAATTATTAATCAAACTATTATTAAAATCATTCATCCATTTTTTGTGGAGTCAAACTCAACACCATGGATCCAATGATGTTAATAAAGTCATGATAAAAAAAAAATCAACCCAAGACAGCCAGAAAATAATCACAAAATAATAATATAACTAATATATACATTAAAGGGTTTAAAAATGTAAAAAAAAAAAGAAATAATGAGGAAAAATATCAATTATATTCAAATTAGTCAAGAAATAAAAAATAAGACCATAGAAAAATCAGAAAAGAGGCCGAGCAATTTTATGAAATTTTTGGGAATTTTTAAAAGTCAGAAACTATTTTTAAAAATTAAAATAAATGGGAAAAATAAACAAAAATAGTAAAACAATAGTAAAGTCAGAAACAAAAATAAAATAAGGTCACCAATATTTGTCACAATATCATTGGATCATTCCATAATTTTTTCAGAATTTAAAAATGTATAAAAATATTTTTAAAC